GCTCTATCTATTGGACAGCTGTGACTTACGGAGCAGTGACAGTAATGCAGGTTCACTATTTTACTTTATTCAATTATATTACCTCTTTTTTCTTTCTTTTTTTTTTTAATTTCAAAGACGAAGGGAGAGGGATAGAGAAACATCAATGAGAGAGAATCATTGATTGACTGCCTTCTGCATGCCCCCTACTGGGGATCAAGCCCAAAACCTGGTCATGTGCCCTGACTGAGAATTGAACCATGACCTTCTGGTTCATAGGTCAGTGCTCAACCAGTGAGCAACACCAGCCAGGGCAAGGAGTTTTCAATTTTATTTTGAACAAGTAATGACTTTCTTGTGATCTAAAAATAAGAAAGTATATAAAAAGCTGTTTAGTGTCCAGAATTGCCACAATTTATAACCAGTGTCGTATTGATTAGAAAATTTGTTGCTTCCAGTAACTGTTGATGAAGATTAGAGACTTATTTTAAGGTTTAGTCCCAGGCCCTTGACTCTTCTCTCTATACCTCGTCCTTAAAGATTTTCAGCTATCATTTTCAGCTGATTTTTTGTGTTCTGATCTATGTCTTTTCCCTCATCTTTCCTCATATCCACTTCTACAATAGCAGCATGACCCTTCTCCTTAAAAAGGACTTCTTATGACCTCACTGTCAATATTATGAAGTCAAACTTGTCTTTCTCAATTTAAAACCTAAATTTAGTTCCTATTATAATTTATTTATACTTTTTATTCCTATTGTTATTTTTTCACCTACTCAATTTATAGCCTACATTCTTAGCTTTTAACTTTCTACTACATAGCCTTCCCTATATGCAATCCACTGACCAAGTCCAAGCAGTTTTCATTTTGATGTCTTACATCTGTGGCTTCCTTCCCACAGTTTTTACCTCATGATTTCTTGTCATTCTCCCATCATGACCTGGACGGCTAAAGGAGCCTCTTGATTAGTTTTCTAACTTCATTTTCTTTTATCAACCTGTCCTTTCAAATGAATCTTCCTAAAATAATACCTTCAACATCTTACTTCAAGCTTACCATCTTTTCTGTCTTAAGTACTGCTTCTTAAAAGTAGCACCTAGATTGGTTAAGCATTTCATAAGTAACTCAATAAACACACTTATGTTTATAAATGCTATAATTTGTTTTTCTTTCATATAAATTAGTGCATGGAAGAAAAAGGGAGTTAAAGCAAGTCCTCAAGTAGTGTTTCATTCAACATCATTTTGTTATGTTGATAAGATACTGTAGGAACTTAACTCTTGTTTATATCAATTATCGTACAGTAAAGTTAGTTTCATTATTCATCATTTCAGTTAAAAGTCACAGAACCGCCCTGACCAGTTTGGCTCAGTGGCTAGAGCATCAGCCTGTGGACTGAAGAGTCCCAGGTTCGATTCCGGTCAAGGGCATGTACCTTGGTTGCGGGCACATCCCCAGTGGGGGGTGTGCAGGAGTCAACTGATCCATGTTTCTCTCTCATGGATGTTTCCAACTCTTTATCCCTCTCCCTCTCTGTAAAAAAATCAATAAAATATATATATATTTTTTTAAAAGTCACAGAACCTGCCCTAGCTGGTCTTGCTCAGTGGATAGAGCGTCGGCCTGCAGACTGAAGGGTCCCAGTTTCGATTCTGGTCAAGGACACATGCCTGGATTGTGGGCTTGATCCCCAGTAGGGTGTGTGCAGGAGGCAGCCGATAGATGATTCTCTCATCATTGATGTTTCGGTCTCTCCCTCTTCCTTCCTCCCTGAAATCAGTAAAAATATATTTTTTTAAAAGTTACAGATCCTGTTGTCACCATTAAAGTGAGGACTTACTGTGTATATGTAATATTCCAAAAATTGCACATAATCTGTCTATGTCAGGGTCCATAGTAAGCAACCTTTCTGAGGTTGCTCCATCAATAGCCATGGTGAGACAATATTAAAAGGCTTCTTCATAAAATCTTGATGACACCCAAAAATCTGGATATAGTCACTGGAATGAATCACAGATAGTAAGATGTCATTTGTGGTGAATGTGGTGGATAAAGATTGAGAACCACTGATTTGAAAAAGATCCCATTTTCTTAACCTGCTTTGTTATGCAGAGTCCTCCATAGTCTTGCTTCATGCTGCTTTGAGAGCCTATTGGGTTGTCTCCTCCAGCCCATCCTTATGTGTTTAGTTGTTGTTGTTTTTGTCTCTGTCCTTTGGCTTATGTCCCTGCCTCATACCTGTGCTTCCAGTTCCCTCTCTACTAATTCAAATCTAAACCCTCCTTTCAGGCTTAGTTCAGCCACTTTTCCTCCGTAAAACTTGCCTACTGTGGTTTCTTCTTCCTCTGCATTGGTGACATTTTTTATTCCTCAAATGGCAGGTAATTTTGTGCTGACCTACATAAAATTTATATATTTCTTATATAGATTACCTAAGTTATTTAACTTTTCCTATATTCAGGCCTTACTTTTCCTGTTAGAAGGTAATTTGCTTGAAAGTAGAGACTATCTTACACTCATGTATTCCTATGTAGCACATAACAGAGACTAACACTTTAACGTTTTCATGAATATTATTTTTTTATATGATCAGTTCTATCAGGTGTCACAGGATTACTTATTTTCTAAGCAATAGATCGTTTCTAATAATGATTATCATTACATCATTAGATCAAGGAAGTTCAGGACAATTCTAGGACTGAGAAAACTTAGGGCAGATTTTACATTATTTAATGTACAAATACATTACAACTGTATATTTGTTACAGATGAGAACAAATAATCTGAGACTGATTTCTCTTAAGACCTAAATGACGCCAAAACCGGTTTGGCTCAGTGGATAGAGCGTCGGCCTGCGGACTGAAGGGTCCCAGGTTCGATTCCGGTCAAGGGCATGTACCTGGGTTGTGGGCACATCCCCAGTGGGAGATGTGCAGGAGGCAGCTGATCGATGTTTCTCTCTCATTGATGTTTCTAACTCTCTATCTCTCTCCCTTCCTCTCTGTAAAAAATCAATAAAATATATTTAAAAAAAAAAAAAAAAAGACCTAAATGACTATAAGAAATGGGATGGCTCTTTTTGAGAAAAAGACTTTAACTCAATCTTAAAAGATTTTTGATAATTAATGGGACACTTCAACAACAGGAGTCAATTAAGGAATATAGTTTGTATCCTCCAAAAAGGGCTACTAGTTGTATCATGACATTTTGAACAATATTGGTATGATTCAGTCAAAAAGTTAACACTGAGTCTGCATAAAATATAAAACAAATTGAAAGCCCTGATCCCCAGCCTCAAGGAACATAGTCTAAGACAAGATGGACAAAATGAACAACTGGAGAACAGTTATATGGTTCCATAAACAATTGTGATGAGCATAGAAACTACATAAGCAGTATTATATTCAGTAAAGGTAAAAAATCATTTGAAGTTATGAAAAGGTAAGTCTTGAGCTGACCCTTGAAGGAAATAATTTGGATTGATAGAAGAAATGATATAAGTACAGAGATTAAAATGAACATGATGGTTAATCGTGACAGTAAAGAAAAAAATCTTAAAATTATGATAATACATATATATTAGGTGTTATCATTTAGAAATAAACTTTACATGTACTATCTCACATGAAAACATTTTTTTTTAAGCTCAGAAATGAGATTACTGTGGACAGTAGGTAGTACTATGTGTTACTGAAGAGCATTAGGAAGACTTTTACCTACTTGAGCATATTTGTTAGGGAATGTGCCATCAGCAGTGTTTAGGGTTTTCTCTTTTAACACTTTGCTGTTACTTTTCCTTTTGCTCTCTTATTACTATGAAGTAAATCAGATTAAGGAATCACAACTATTCTCTTTATTGTTGAAAGTATTCCATATGTCCCTTTATTTCCCCCCTTGCCCTCTGAACCCCCTACCCCCAAGCCTTCACCACCCTATTGTCTGTGACTATGGGTTATGCATATACACATATGAGTTCATTGGTTGATCTCTCCCCTCCCCTCCCCCACCCCCCCCACCACACACACACACACACATATACCTTCCACCATCCCTGCCTTCTTCCCTCTGAGGTTTGACAGTCTGTTCAACGTTTCTAGGTCTCTGGGTCTATTTTTGTTCATCAGTTTATGTTGTTCATTAGATTCGACATATGAGTGAGATCATGTGATACTTAATCTTTTTCTGACTGGCTTATTTTGCTTAGCATAATGCTCTCTAGGTCCATTAGTGCTGTCTCAAAGGGTAAAAGATCCTTTTTTTTGCTGCCCAGTATTCCATGGTATTTGACCGGAATCGAACCTGGGACCCCTCAGTCCACAGGCCGACACTCTATCCACTGAGCCAAACCGGTTTCGGCCCATTTTTAATTTTTTGAGGAAACTGCAAACTGTTTTCCACAGAGGCTGCACTAGTCTGCATTCTCACCAGCAGTGTACTAGGGTTCCCTTTTCTCCACATCCTCACCAACACTTGTCGTTAGTTGATTTGTTGATGATAGCCATTCTGACAGGTGTGAGGTGGTACCTCATTGTCATTTTGATTTGCATCTCTGATGATTAGTGACTGAGCATTTTTTCATATGACTTTACCCTTCTGTATGCCCATTTTGGAGATATTCCCATTTATTTTTTCATGAACAAGTTATAGGTTCAATCTCTGTTAATTGTGAGGAACTTAAATAGGAACTTCACTTATATTTTTATTGAAAAGACAATAGTTCATTTTTCCCTAGCACTGGGCTAAAGACCTTTCAAGCACTGATGCATTTAATCCTTGCAAGAATCTTGTGTCATAGATACTATCAATTATTCCTTGTTTACAGGTTCAAAGAGTTTACATGTCCAAAACCACACAGCAAGAGAAAGCATTAAGACTCCTGTCCCTGCCCTATCCGGTTTGGCTCAGTGGATAGAGTGTCGGCCTGTAGACTGAAGGGTTCTGGGTTCAATTCCAGTCATGGGCACATGCCCAGGTTTCGGGCTCAGTCCCCAATAGGGGGTGTGCAGGAAGCAGCCAGTCAATGGTTCTCTCTCATCATTGGTGTTTCTATCTTTTTCTTCCTCTCCCTTC